TATTACAAATACTGTATTTTCACTTTTTCAGATTATTATTAAACGGTTAAACGAAACCGCCCGTATACTTTTAACGGTTAACCGTTTAGCACAAAAACCGTCAAAGAAAATGGTCAACAAAGGATGGTTGAAGGTTAAAAAACGCATTTGATTGATTCTCCATAAATAATCAGATTCACATTCATCTGATTTATATGAGCAGCGAGTTTTAAATAATATGTTCACAATCATTAACAGTCATTATGAATAAATATCAAACATTTGACTTTTTGTACTTACTAGAAAATCCCTGTTGTTTATTCCATTCCGATTCGCACGTGTTCATTTCCCTAGAATAATGACGTCATATTTGGCGTGATTCAACCAATCGGCAATCAGAGAATAGCAAAGGCCTGTCGGTGCGGCCTGCAGAGCTAGAGAGAGAGAGCGCGAATAAGCTCGCAGCTGGTACGATCGCGCTAGCTGTCTCTAGCTAGCTCACGGCCGGCCGTGCGTGGAGGCGGAGCGGCATTCATGGCTTGAAGTGTCATTGTTGCATGCGCGCTGAGCTAGCTGAGCTGGCTAGCTGTCTGTGAAGTTTTTTCGAAATCGGAACGATCGCTTTTTTGCTTCTGGATTTTGACGACGGGTAAGAAGTTGACGGGTGAATGGTAGAGTTCTTGGACACTAGGAAATTACTGTAAAAGTATCACTTGCCCGAATCGGGCAAGTGATAATTTGATTTACTTGCCCGACGGCTCAATTTGGTTGCCCCGGGACGTCGGGCAAGCGGGTTTGTCGCGCCCTGGGGGGGGGGGGTGGTGGGGGCTGCATTATTTATACAAAAAACTTGAAGCCAATACCTTCTTTTCGTAGAATTTTTTTGAAGCAGCCCCCTCCAAAAAAATAAGAAGGCGATTCTTCAGTGAGCTGAAGAATCACCTTATTTTGCCCCTGCTTAGAGTACTAGGCTAGGCCCTTACGTTAGATCTAGCTATTTATCAAGTCTCTAACTTTTAGGAGTAAAATATGATTATCTGATTATGAAAAAAGAAAAATTCCATTCCTTCATTAATCGGATATTCTCCCGGTGGGGTCACTCAATGTGACTTCCGGACCGCATGACCGTTACCAAAATCGCGGAAAAAGGGGTCAATTTCAAGCAATGTCCGCGGACAAAATATTACTCGAAATAAAGAAAATAGGGGGGCACAGGTGTCCCCGAAATTGATAAATAGGGGTCAGGAAAAGGGAAAAGAGAAAACCGGGAAGGGAAAAGAGAAAACCGGGAAGAAAAATTCTCGGAGCCGAGTCTTGTCCTTGAAATATGGTAAATAGGGGTAAATTTGCGAAAGTGTCCTTACAATCTTATAAATAGGGGTATTCCAAAGTACGATTTTGTCCTAGTTTTGACGTAAAAAAGGGGGTTAAATTTCACAAAATGTCCTTGAAATTGACCGCAAAAGGGGGTTATATGCATTGGTGGTAACGGTCATACGTGTCACTCTTCGCAGGGGAGTGACCATGGTGACCCCACCGGGGATATTCTACTCTGAATGACTAGAATATGATAATGTCTGATGTAGCTACAGTAGATATAGGTCTAGTTTACTCACTAAATCAAATTGGATATTCTACTCGGAATGAATAATGATAATACAGTAGATATAGATCTAGTTTGATTAGTTATACTCACATCACTCGATCAAATTGGGCAGTACAATCATGCAATGCAGTGCAGCGGCCCGGTACGAGTCAGTGAATTCCCCCGCCGACCCGGCCGGCGGCGCTGTACGGCTAGCTGCACACTGAGCTGAGCTGCTGCGGTAGCACTAGACAGTAGTCTGCTAATTTACGGCCAGGACGAAAGAATGTGAACAAACATCAACCATCTCGTCTAAAATGTACTATATTCGACTTCTCAATAATGAAATCTGTGTCAGGAATAAAAAATAGACCTTCATACGAGATAAAAATGATATTTTTGCAGTGATTTACCGACAAAAACACTGCTCGAATTTCAGTGGTCCGAGTAGATACAACGCACATTTAATGTACGTGCGGCAATGCGGATTGCGAGCTGTGAGTAAATTGTCCGAAATGTCATTTTTTGGGTCATTTAACCTAAAGATAAGTCATAGATTGTCTTCATTAGTATCATTTAACACAATTCCATTAAAGATTTAGGTTGGAAAGGGCATTATTAAGTCACAAAGAGCACAAACATATACACATTGGTATCTCTCGATCGAGTAATCAGGTCGGGACATCTCGGCCCAGTTTTTCCAGCTGGGCCGAGTAGTCCCGTGGGCCGAGTTAGCCCGGATCCAAAAATAGAACGGATGGGTGGACGCGAAACGAAGGTCAATGAACTGTTTATAGAGGGGATTCCCGGTGAAGGGCGTGGCCAGGGGGCGTGTCCCCGTCGGAATATAAAATCTCAATTTTAAGATTTAATAAAGATGAATTGGCAGGGGAAAAAAAGATCCTCCCATGATCATGATAATATTACCAAGTGGCATTTTCTTATGCTCAAGTTTCGCTTTCATTCTGCTGGTGCATGGGCGGAAATGCCGATAGAAATTGTGTAAAAATATGAAAGCGACAAGACTCGTACAATACCAACCACGGATCGAGGGATAGGGGGGAGCGGGTTATTGTGAAATGATGATATATCGAGAAACAGACAAATAAATTGTAAATATCAAGGGAATATGACAGACCTGTACCGTGCAAGACATACGTGAAGTTGAATGAATATGCAGTTGGTATAAAATCAAAGAATATAATTGAACGAAGACATTTATTAATAAAGTTTTTTCGTTTTGCAATCATTAGTTTCGATAACACGAAACACTTCAGTGTACAGAAATAAGGTAAGAGCACATTTTTTAACATTTTTTTTGTCCCAAAATTTGATTTAAAAAAAAGGGGGGGGGGGGTTCCTCAAAAACACCAAAAAAAATAAGGGGGGTCGACACCCAACCCCCCCCCCCCCGTCCCCCCTGCGTACGCGCCTGTTATGAATGCATGCATACATACAAACATAAATAAATACATAATTGTACATACTTTAGGCCTTCATAATATAATGGACAGAAACATAAACGGATGGAGATAGATGGATAAATAGATAGATTGATAGATGGATTGATAGATCGATAGATACGGGGAGAATCAGAATACCAACATCAAGATCAAACAAAATAAATGAAATGCATGTATGTCAGAAAACAAAATAGAGTGAGAAAGAGAAATATAGAGGATAAGGAAAAGAAAGGAGGAATGAAGAGAGAAGCGAGATTAAAATTAACTAACCTTTCATTCGAGTCGCCAACTCGGAGAAGCTTGATCCTGTAGATACATTCATCCTCACTCGTTCCTCCCATCCTCCTGCTTGACTATCACGAAGAAGAAAACTTTCACCTGGTTTCAAAGATCACGCCTTTCTTTCACGAATAATGTGCATCATGGATTATTGCTCGATGCAGTCTGATCCTTAATCTGAAGTATTGGCTTAAAATGTCTTCCTCATGTTTTGTATCGTATTTGTTTAATCACGGTAAAAAAAAAATCGCAAAAAAGCTTCTATTCAGCAATGCCGTGAATAAAGTTTACAAAATTAGTCTTAAGGTAATTACCTAAACATGAAGCATTCTCGTTAGATGATCATTGTTGTTTACTTTCCTGTATAGCAAAAATGTATTCCTTTGTCGTCGCGAACAATCTACAGATGAATCGTACATAAGCATATTCTCATCATCTATTCCATTATAAGATTCAATTTCCAGGATTCACGTACATGTATTCGACTTTCTCTTTGAAGATGACAATGCCTCGGGCGCTACATCGAAGTCTTACAATAATGAGCATGACTATCAGTCAGATGATACGATATTCCATGCATTAACACTAGCATCGCCAAGACAATGCTTCATTCAAACATATTATGCGAAACGGAGGGAGAAGAGAAGTACACCGCGGATACACCAAGAGAGATGTGAGTTGGTCTAGTGGTATATTACGCTCAGCTCTCTGCCTTCGTCCGCAAACTGAATCTGATGGACCTCGGTTCAAAACTGAGTCACATTTTTCGGATGGTGACGCTAATTCTCGCTCGTTATCATAATTGCATGTAGGTGATTGATACACGTCTGTAAACATCCATTCACAACTTACACAAAATATATGCACACCCACAAAATAATGAGGCAACATTAACAAAGCTCACTGTTAGTGGATCATCGGGAGTGGAAGACTTGGTTTCCGTTGAGGCTTCTGGATCAATTATGGATCTATGAGATTAAAATCAGTGGCTAGTAGGGGCGGCTCCGGGGTTTTATTAAAGAGGGAGTGGGTCCTATTAAAAATGAGGGGGGTCATCCGGTTTGGGGATGTTGACTTGAATGTCATCAGGTTGAAATATATAGAAATCCAACAAAGGGGGGGGGGGGGGAGGGGGTTCAGGAGACAAAATGATGACGAGCAAAAACAAAAGGGGGTAGTAGATACTGACGACTGTGATCGCCCACACTCGTGATCCTCCCCTTGGCGGTGTTTCATCAACTAAAATTGATTTCGATTTTAATTTTTTTAAATGGTTTTAAGGCCCAATCGATTTTTCTTAAAACTGATGCTTGTGAGCTGTATCAACATATCAATTCATCTTCAACGCAGAATATAATAATAATATTTCAAGATTAGAAACACCGACATGTTCCATAAACATTATAGTGTTCTAAGAAAAGAAGAGCAACCTTTGGCTTAGTCCTTGAAGTAAATTTAGTACCTGTAATCTTATCAATTTTTGCAATGAAATAAAGTAACAATGGTGCAATGGTATACACCTATAGTAACATCAACATTGAATAGCAAAAGTTATCCGCTATTAATAGCAATTTTTCTGTTGTTATGATTCTCCAAACAAATACGCAATTTCTGAGTCCATTGTGATTTGTTACCTGGTAACCATTTGAACATACTACATATACTGTAGGTTCAAATAATCCTCATGTAATTGAACTATAATAAATGGTTAGAATGTTTAGCGCCATCTCCAACAATCCAAAAGAGATCGAGTTTGTATTGGGCGATCATTTTTAGGACGATTCAAACCTCAATCTGCTTGTCTGTCAAAGGTTGCTGGGAATTCCCAGTCCCCAAAATAGATCGGCAAACGAAATACAAAAATGTATATACTACTTATGATCAGTGCACCACTACATCGAGAAGGCAAGGAGTATACATGTACATGTTTACTAATTTCATATAACCTAGGCCGATACGTGTAGTTACGGAAAAAGAAGTGAGTGTATTACAATGTCACTGCCATTTCCAAGAGAAATTTGGTAACATTTTTCATTATATTAGGCAAGCTCCCAAACACCTTTGAGGCATAGTTTGTATCTGGTTTATAAAATCATCATTTTCCTTCGACTGAAAAAAATACACTAGATCTAGCTCTAAATCACTGAAGTTTTCGCTTCATGGTATAAACATGAAATATAATTTCTCATTGCTAATGTAAATGTGACGATTTGGTATGCTACTGTGAGGCGAATATTGAATTTGTCACGAATGATTATTCTTACATGTTAATATGAATGCACAGGGTAAACATTTTAGTTAATAAGTGATTAACATTGGTGTCGTAGTAGTGAAGGTATAATAAAGTGGTTCATTCACTTGACTCTCAATCCAAGCGTTGACGTTTCGAATCTCAACCGCTAATTCTCGTGCACTAACATCATTTAGAAAATTGTGTATTGTGTGTGTGTGTGGGGGGGGGGGGTATAGAACATACATCCATTCAGACGCTTGACACACCGAGAATGAGGTTTTATTGGGCGATCTCAATCTGTTTGTCTGTCAAAGGTTGATGGGAATTCCTAATTATAAAAATAGACATTGTAAAGGCAAAACATACATGTTTTTTTTTAATTTGATATAACACCTAGACTGATATAATATAGTGATGAAAAGAAGAAATGTGGTGACATTTTTTGATATTTTCTTCTTATCGTTTCGGGATAGCCATACAATCAATTGTATGTGTGCGTATGTGTGTGTGTGTGTACGCTTACTTAAACGATACGTCGTGTAAAGAAACGTATATATAAACTAAACTAGGATATGGGCATCGTTTCGAAGTAGAACTCCATATTCACAGAATGTTTTGTGTCTGGACATTTTTTTTTTTTGGGGGGGGAGGGGGGGGGGACTGACAAAAAAAAAATCCGCATCACCCCCACTCTTACATGCAGGCCCTGCTGAACGTATTTCAAAGTGGGGTCTAGGGGCAAAGGGGGGTCAAGGGGTATGGGCATCAGTGGCGGATCCAGGAATTTCTTACCGGGGGGGGGCACAAAAGGGCATGAGGTGAAATATATGTAAGACGATGAAGCGACAGAGCGAGGCTTTAGCGGTGAGGGAGCGGAGCGACCAAGCGGGGATGGGTCTGGTCTCCCAGAGTAGGAAGCATTTGCAATATCAGAACCACATTGGACGCATTTTCAGGCACTTCCTGGAGTAATATAACGTAACATTTCTTTCTCCTACCCCCTCCAAGAGTAGGGATCTTTTGCAATTTGAGAACCACATTTGGCGCATTAATGTCCACCGGCACTTCCTGGAAAAAACGAGGCTTTCTGATTGGTTAGATGTTAGAGAAAAGTGATCTTCCACGTCGTGAGACGTTGTATAATTATGCTTCGTTGCTGCACAATGCGCAAAGACGGTGGTCCGGTACTTCACCAGTAGTACTTGCAAAAATTATCCCGAGTGTATAAACTGTTTTGTTATCAGGGGCGTCGTTAGACCTTTTTCAGTGAGGGAGGGGGAGGGGATGTAGAGGCCATCGATTACCGACAAAACGAGCCACCAATTACCAACAAATATATTTATGCCAATGTCTCAATGTCTACAAACTTAACCCTATAAACCCGGGGCCAGGAACTAAGTTATTTTTCAACACCAGCAGAAAGTTCTCAAGGATGTTAAGATTCGTGACATAGGGTTCATCTCTGATGATCGGCATGTTATACTTGATGGCTCAAACTATATTACAATGTACACACTAAAGTACACACAGTTGAATGTAATGTTTGAGACACTGAGTAACGATGAAGGTGGATATGCTCGATCAGCTCAATGTCCCAATGTCTACAAACTTAACCCTATAAACCCGGGGCCAGGAACTAAGTTATTTTTTCAGTTTTCCCTCTCCCGCGCGGAACGCGGAAGCTTTGACATTTCATTAAATTGTTAGAGAAAGAAGACGATCTGTTGTATCGTTCTCGACTCTTAATTCTTGTCTGAATTAAGTTGACCCCTCCCGCGCGAAGCGCGGAAGCTTTGCCGCTTCATTAAATTATTAGAGAAAGAAGACGATTCGTTGTATCGTATCCTTGTCTGAATTCAGTTTCCCTCCCCTCCCGCGCGAAGCGCGAAAGCTTTGACGTTTCATTTAATTATTACTCTTAATCCTTGTCTGAAATCATTTTCGCCCACGCTAACTGAGTTATTTTTCAGTTTTCCCTCTCCCGCGCGGAACGCGGAAGCTTGGCCGCTTCATTAAATTATTAGAGAAAGTAGACGATTCGTTGTACCGTTCTCTACTCTTAATCCTTGTTTGAATTCAGTTTCCCCACTGGGCCCCTTAACGGTACATGTGCAGTGTAATACATGATGTACGTATGGAACGTTCGTTCGCAAATCTGTGCATGAACAGCACGATTGGTCGAAGTAGCTTCTGGAAAGGGATTGTGTTACTAGCAAGCGCGCCGGAAGCAGTTTGGGATGGGGGGGGGGGGGGGGCAAACATTCCAGGGGGCTCACCTTCCAGGGGCAGTGACGTAATGAGAAAAAACGTTAGGAAGGGGGGGGGGCAGACGAAAAATCTGCATCACCAGAGCCTCGGCAGGGGGTCAATGGGCTGAGCCCCGGAAGCTCAGGGGTTTTAGGTATTTAATTACGGTTAGATGAGCATCCAGGGGCCCTCTTTAAGGCCATTGACGTGTTCCAGGGGAGGGGGAGCCCCCAGAAGCTCAGAGGTTTTAATAATTAACAACGGTCAAATGAGCATCCAGGGGCCGCCTTAGGGCCCTTGGTGGGATCCAGGGGGCAGACCCCCCGGAAGCTCGGGGGTTTTAGGTATTTAATTACGATCAGATGAGCATTCAGGGGCCCGCCTTAGGGCCCTTGGTGGGGTCCAGGGGGCAGAGCCCCGGAAGCTGAGGGGTTTTCTGTATTTAATTACGGTCGGATGAGCATCCAGGGGCCCGCCTTAGATCCCTTGGTGGGGTCCAGGGGGCAGAGCACCCGGAAGCTCAGGGGTTTTCTGTATTTAATTACGGTCAGATGAGCATCCAGGGGCCCGCCTTAGGGCCCTTGGTGGGGTCCAGGGGGCATAACCCCGGAAGCTCTGGTTTTTTAGGTATAATTACGGTCAGATGAGCATCCAGGGGCGAGGGGTTTTCTGTATTTAATTACGTTCGTAATGGCGTTATCACAGTTTTTCCTTCATAATCATTTTTGCCTTCGGCGTAGACTAGAAGGGATGAGATTGACGGCAGCGAGAGTTTAACACGGCTTGCAAGATTTTCAACATGGATGTCGATTTTGACCCATAATTTCCTTAAAAGGGACCATTAAACGGATTATTTCAATCAAGTTAGTAAGTGGAACCGATGTATTATAGCCTAGGCCTAATGTAAAATTGGATATGCACGAGGTAAAATGACATTTTGGGGGATTTTGGGGGCATAACAATACGGCCGTGGCAAGTTTGTTCATGTTTGTGGGAGGGGCCTAACGGCTAAAATCTAGCCGTGATATCTTCAACATAGGCTGGCATAGGCGATCGTTCAGTCTCTATAAACCGGAGGCGAATTTTTTTTCCGTACTCGAGAGAGCAAAAATCCCATGTGCGCATGCGCGTGGACTTATGATTTCTCTGCTACTTCCCATACGAAATGTACATGTATTCGCATGTACTGTGCACGATTCGCGTTCTACGAGTAAACGATGGCATAGTAGTCTTCAAACACAGACTCTGATTTGCCAGTTTGACAAATCAATATGCGTATGTGTCGCGATGTGCTTATTCAAGTCTGTGTAGTTGTATGATTCAGACCCAGTAGTGCATATGGAAATACATTGCAACTTGTATAGAATGGTATAGTAGTCTGCAAGCACAGACGCTAATCTGACAGTTTGACAACATACTAGTAGTGTGCTGAGAAGTACTTTATTCAAGTCGCCAACTTGTATAGAATGGTATAGTAGTCTGCAAGCACAGACGCTAATCTGACAGTTTGACAACATACTAGTAGTGTGCTGAGAAGTACTTTATTCAAGTCTGCGTAGATGTATGATTCAGACCCTACTGGTGCGTGCGTTAGAAATGCATCTCAATGTGTAGAGTGTAGTATAGTAGTCTGCAAGGACTACACAATATATTATTATGTCCTTGCAGACTACTATACTACACTCTACACATTGAGATGCATTTCTAACGCACGCACCAGTAGGGTCTGAATCATACATCTACGCAGACTTGAATAAAGTACTTCTCAGCACACTACTAGTATGTTGTCAAACTGTCAGATTAGCGTCTGTGCTTGCAGACTACTATACCATTCTATACAAGTTGGCGACTTGAATAAAGTACTTCTCAGCACACTACTAGTATGTTGTCAAACTGTCAGATTAGCGTCTGTGCTTGCAGACTACTATACCATTCTATACAAGTTGCAATGTATTTCCATATGCACTACTGGGTCTGAATCATACAACTACACAGACTTGAATAAGCACATCGCGACACATACGCATATTGATTTGTCAAACTGGCAAATCAGAGTCTGTGTTTGAAGACTACTATGCCATCGTTTACTCGTAGAACGCGAATCGTGCACAGTACATGCGAATACATGTACATTTCGTATGGGAAGTAGCAGAGAAATCATAAGTCCACGCGCATGCGCACATGGGATTTTTGCTCTCTCGAGTACGGAAAAAAAATTCGCAAACCGGAGGTCTAGTGGAACCAGACGTAGTCTCAGTGGAACAACCGACGGTATAGAGACTGAAGCTTTCGGTCTAGAAAAGGTATGACTTACAAAAAATGGAGAAAAAATACCGGAAAATCATGTCATAACAGCAACATTTGTAAATCACTGGTATCGAATAAGAAATACACCCCCATTAGTACGCCAGCGTTCAGGGGCTCATGTCTTCTCACCCCTATAACAAAAAAACAGACACGCTTTCCCACTCTCGCAAAATATGTCCACGATATGCGAGTATCGCTATTATATAGACCTCCATTGATAAATACCGTATAGGTGGCATGCGCAATGTTTATGAAATTTGATTCCTGTGAACTTTCCTTTTCTTTGAATGGAATTGTAAATGTGATTTAATTCAGGTTTTTATTATTGTTATGTTCTTCTGGGTTAAAAATACAAACCATGTTTACTCCTTTACTGCTTTTTTTTTTTTGGAGGGGGGGGGGGGCGTCTTTTTTTTTGGGGGGGGGAGGCAAACAAGCGTTTTATTGGTGGCCACTACAAGGTCCATTAGTGACTATAAAAAAACATACGCTCTTCCTGGCTAATTGGGAATGTTTGCAACAGAAATGGAGAAACTCGCATTTTGTTGAAAATCATGTGATATTCTGAGACTCATGTCTATTTTGTGTTGTTTTGAGTTCCACGGTGTACCTTTAACCACGGACTTCAACTGATGCAATGTAGTATGACTTACGTCAGAGATTTACAAAACTTTTGCTAGCATGACTAGTTGCTATACATGATAGATGTGTTGTGTTCTATTTTAGTGGATAGGTTGCTTGATTGTAAGTCACATGGTTCGCGGTTCGAGTCCCACCCCGGCACTTTGGTGAGACAGTTCGCTACCTTTGTCCCCGGCCTTTGTCACTCTCCTCCCATCCCAGGTATATATAGTGACAGTGAATGCTTATATGAGCACATTATCATGGTAGGTTGGCTATAAAAGCAAGTGTAGTAATAAGATTGCTGGGCCCTTGGGGACAACAGTATGTCTATTGATGAGGACTGGGTAAATAAGGCATCGTCATTATTATGATGATTTATACTTATTTTCTTGATATAAATATTATTATTATCATTATTATCATTATTTATATTTATTATCATCATCGTCATTTCCCCCTCATTATAGTTTATATAGACTAAAGAGCGACAAAGGAAACAGTTTAATTTTTTTAATTCATTTTTCACTTAATACCTCCTTCAGTTGATGAATGATATAAATCAATTTTGAACAAGATATAACGGAATATCATATTTTGTACGCGTTATATTCTGTAAGGAAAAGGCGTGAAGAAAATGATAAACATTCCTCTTTAACACGTTCAGATGAATCTTTATGTTTTTCCTTTTCTTTTGTCTCGTATTCCTGTAGAATTCGAATCATGGCTGATGCATTAAAGAATGTCATTGCTCAGAGTTTAGAGTGTCCTGTATGTCTGGAAACCTTCACCGATCCCAAGATCCTGTCTTGTTCTCACACCTACTGCAAGGCCTGCCTGGACAACCTCTTGGAATGCCATGGTAACGACCAGACGCTCCAATGCCCTGTCTGCAGAGCTGAAACCCAGGTCCCAAACCAAGAAGTCAGCAAATTACCAGCAAGTCTAGCTTTGAAGTCTCTCATAGAGGACATGAAGAATCAATCTCAGTTTTGCACGAATTGTAAATCCGAGGACAAGCCCCAAGCTGCTGTCTACTGTCAAGACTGTAGCAAGTATTTCTGTAGCACTTGCCATAACAAACACTCTCAGTGGCCAGACTTCATCAGTCATCAGGTCTTAGCCATGAGTGAGATCGTATCAGACGAGGTGTCACTACGTAGATACCGTAAATGCAGGAAACACCCCAAAGAGGATGAAGAGTGCTTCTGTTCCGACTGCAGAAGATTTGCCTGCTTCAGGTGTGTTGTCATGGAGCATAAAGACGAAGGACATCGGATCATTGAGGCAGCTGTTTATAAAAGCCGCCATTTGAAGAGTATCGAGGACCTCAAATCCAAGGCGGACAAGAAATGCCTTTGCTTTCAGAAATACGTTGATTTCATTAATGAACAGAAGGAGCATGTGAGCAATGTTCAGATGCAGTGTACACATGATATCAACAAAGCATTTGAAGAATCAGTCCAGCAGTTGACAGAGAGGAAAGAACTCCTTATTGTTGAAGTCAAGGGTAAGACCGAAGGAGTAGAGAAGGAACTGGACGAAATGAAGAATTCAGCTCAGGAGCACATCACTCACTTGACCACCATAGCTGACATGGTAACCAACAGGACAAAGGTACCGTCAGATATGGATGCTTTGGCTGCCCATGACACTCTATGTCAAGACTTACAGGATGCTTTGAAACAAGAAGATCCTGACTACAAGCAGCCAATCCAATCGAGCAGGAAGGGAAAAGGTGTCAGTTTTAAGGAGAACGTTGGAATGAACGAGCTAACTCTTGGTAAGATCGTAAATGCAGTTGCAAAGAACATCGCTTTGCCTACTAAAAATAGCATGGATGCCATGGTTATTACACCAGACGGTAGGATGGCAGTGGGATGTCACACAGGTGGCGTGGAGATCTTCTCTGCTGATGGTCAGCACCAGCAGAAAGTTTTGAAGGATGTTAAGATTCGTGGAGTAGGGTTCCTCTCAGATGATCGGTATGTTATACTTGATCACTCAAACAATGTCACACTGTACACACTAGAGTACTCAAAGTTGAATGTAATGTTTGAGACTCTTAGTGACGGTGAAGGTGGATTTGCTAAGCTCACTGTAGACGGGAATGATCAGATCTATGTAAGCTACTGGACAGCCAAGAAGATCCAGGTATTCTCACCAGCCGGTGGGAAGGCGATCAGGGAGATACCATGTGATAGGTATAAACCTTTGGAAATTATTAGTTATAATGATTATTTGATCACCGCATCTGGTGATAAAATACGATTGATTGACAAACAAGGTGTTGTAAAATATGAATTAAGGGGACTGGGTTATTTCCCATACGCCGCTGTGTCTCAAGGGAATACAATACTGATAGCCAAGGTGAAACACGGTGTAGGTTTGGTCAGCATTGATGAGTACACTAACGAGCTGAAGCATGTCCAGAACCTCGTCATTGATTACAAGATTGAGAAGCCTGGGAGAAACTGGTACTATCTCCAGCAGTACCGATCAGGAGAGATCGCTTTCTGCACTCCTGATAGACTCTATATATTCCACTGAAAATAATGGATGACTCCCATTTCTTGCACTGTATGGTATCACTATATCCAGGCCCGTATGGTGAGCGGGGGGGGGGGGATGAAATGTGCGACCGGACCCCTTTTATCTCGGTTAAACAGGCACCCTGACGAATTTAGAGTAACATGTTTTTAAAAAGGGGACCGCTCCCCAACCCCTTTTTTTAGGCTGGTTTTGCTATGACCTCAGTAAGGAAATATAGCATCCAGTGTATAAGTTGTATTTAGTAGTTGTACATGTGAATCTGAATTGTTGGTAACTGTTGTAAATGATGTAGACACAATTCAATTGTGAACTAAACGATTGTTTTACAGTAGGAGATAATCATCATAGTAAGAGACTCTCTATGTATTGCCTTTCAATATAATGAATATTTTTTCCTTCATTTTCTACGATGCGTTTCAGATCTCTTTCTGATTATTCAAACTATTTTGTTATATTTTACCAAGAATCATGAGAGGAAATGCCAATTTTTCATAATTATTGTTACTTCTTACAATTTCTCGAGTTGTGTATTAAGGATGTTAAGTTTTTTTAAACTCGACCTATTGATTGTAGTATAGTAAAACCAATCTTCAAAATGAGGGTTAATTTTTTTTTATCTGAAGGACTGTGATATCTTATTTCCTGTTTTCTATGTTTACTTTCCATCTGGCAAAGACAGTACATGGGAGAAATAGCATGGAACTTGTCGGATATACCCAATTAATTTATTGACTTTTAGGAGGTATTTAGTTTTGTCTGTTTCCATTTGTTTCAGTTTCTGTGCTTATTATAATGTTGGTAGACATTTGTGTCAATCCTATCGAAGTCCATAAAAATAAAATAGTTTGTATTAGAAAGGAATCTCACTAACTTTAACGAATGCAGAAAAAAGAGAGAAAGTGGTCTTTATAAGTTTGAGAAAAATATACTCTATCTTCGCTTTATACCAAAGATTTCATTAAACATCACCCAGCAATTTTTCTTGTCATAGCTATGGCCGAAATATAAAATTATAAACATATTCTTATATAAGTCCTGTGTTCAAAACGAATACTCTATCATCAAAACTTTATTTTTAAAGAAGATATTTTGGGAATATTTTCCATATAAAATAAACGGAGAGGCTGTCGCATTCAGAGTTGCCTATCTATAATGGGCTTACAAGTTCTACAATTACATTTTAAAAATTAAATTAATTTATTTATTCCCCCGTTTCTTACGTTTTTTCATCAATGTGATGGCATGTTTACTTTCCATTTTATTATGCATCCATGTTATTTTGATCATGACGTAATACATGAACATGTATTTGATTCTTAATATAAGGCATCTGAATAATTTGGAAAAACTGAAATTTGCTATAAACAAATATAATTAAGAAATGCTGACTGTTGTATTCAACCATTGATTATTACTAAGCAATGACATCTGTATTGGCAGTTGATTTTTTTTTTGTTTTGTCAATAATAAAATCCTTTACTTCCGTTCCATTATAAAGAGTTGCCCTGCATGGGCGACCTATGTTTCAATGTTGTCAATTCATTAGCTGACCCTCAAATAGTCACACCTCCGAACCGACTCCAAAACAACCTCACAGACCTTTCCAATTCGACCATTTCTTTTCCATTTTGTGTCTTAATGTCAATTCTCGTTCGGTCTCTTGTAGGTCTGGGTATCGTTTCACGAGACCGTTATAAGTACAAGTTCACCGACATCTCCTTGAACGCCTTTTTAATTGTAATACACGCATTTCAACTGGATTTCGGTGAACTTGTGCTAATGACGGTTTAACGAAACGTTGACCCGGATTTTCGTTTCATCTGCGCAATGGAGAGGAGTCTGTGTGTATGGTGTAATAACTTCGATTTTCCGACACGGTTAGATATTTTATCAACAGTAACAAAAGAAGTATGTTTAAGAAAGTTATCTTAGAGGGTTTATCAACTCAGATTCAAACCAAGATAATGACAATATCAAGATTTAAAACTGAGTACCAAAAGAAACATAACAAGTAATTAAAACATAAACAACATAAAGTTATTCTTGCAAATTATGAATCTTTATTTGAACCTTTATCTTCATTTCATTGATCTGTAATATTATGTCATGCACTGTGATGTGTATTTTCTTGTGGTAGTAATGTTGTGTTTTGTCGTCATTATAATCTGGTACAAATATTTAATTTTTAAGTATATGGCCACTTATAAAGGTCACCTCCTTTCTGGCTGCTACTTACCAAGCAATTTTGATATTTTTATACCAATGCATATACATATATTATATTATTGGTGGGTAACAGTGTTTTATTTTATGTATACGTATGTATGTTATTCTTTAATTTCAACATGATGAATTGAATTGGCTTGAAAAAAATATAGTTATTAATACGACATTCTATATAGTACAAATTATTATTTGTGATGTTTACATGTATTTAAAAAAACATAACATGACATATGTGTTGTCTACGGGATTATTTGCAGTTTGCAGGGGAGGGGGCGTGCAAGTGTGTATAACAGGGGGCAGCAGTTTTTACGCTAGATGGAGCTTGTACTGTGCAACATAATAGTTGTACCACTGTAATATATGAATGTGTACTCTGGTTTCTTATGCAGGTATAATGTCTTCTGTGATCGAGTTGTTATTCAATCTTTCTCAAAATTTAAACCTTTCTCCTAAAGCAATACGGTAGACACCAAAACTCTTATGAGGTATTGTAAATACTTTTATTTTGATTTCCAAATAAATTTTGATTCACATCGAATTCAGTCTAAATGTTACATCAATTTCATACATCGCACAGTTGAAAAAGTTGTCGTGCAATAGAGTCGCATTAAATCCACGCTATTTTCAGTCGAAATAGGTAACCCCAGACTATACCTGATTGGATACGATGTCTCCTCCTTTACGGATTAGCATCGCTTTCCCAAAGCCCCGGACTATTTTTACTTCTGTTCTCAATAATGGAGCGCCTAGCACCGCATTCCAAGAGTTAACACCCCAATGCTAACACTGCTTTTCCGGGGCCAAATAATCCTGTATAAGTATGTGTATTTTCGGTGGGGCTACCCCACTTTGGTAACACCGAGTGTGAAAACGAAGTGGACTAAGGAAAAGTTTACCAGTGTAAAAAAACTTCTCTCTCTCTCTCTCTCTCACTTTCTCTATCTCTCTCTCCCCTCTCTCTCTCCCCTCTCTCTCTCTCTTTCTCTCTCTCTCTCTCTCTCTTTCCCCCTCTCTCTCTCTCTCTCTCTCTCTCTCTTTCCCTCTCTCTCTTTCCCTCTCTCCAATGTTTCCCTTATTCCCTCCTTTTCCAGTTCAGTGAATATTATATTTTATTTCACTCAGATCTGTCACGTTATTCACCACCGAATGAATGACGTTTTTCTTCATCCCGAAACAATGCTACAATGCCTTCATCTTTAGGGCATAGTAATCGTTATAGTCTAACATTTTCATTCTCGTTCAAAATTATGGTATTGAAGGTTTCAAACGGTTTATTTAGAAATGTGATTGACCCTTTTAAATAAGTTGCATCGTAAACAGAGATCAGTAATATAAAAGCAAAAAGAACTGCTTCTAGAGAAAGAGGGAGATGAAAAAAGGAAATTTAATACAGTTTTGAAAGGAGATAAAATATGTACAGTTATACCAAAAATTGAATTATGTCTGAATGAAATCAAATCATGGTCCGCAATGAATGGTCTTAAGATTAACGAGGAAATGACTGAGTTGTGGCGTATATCATCACATTTTAGAACCAGAAGTCAGCTGCCACCTATAACGTTCAATGGACCTCCTCTTGAACCTTCAAGCTATGCCAGAAATTTGGGAATCATGGTTGATGATCAACTAACATTGAAAAGACATGTTGGCAATATTATGTGTCGGTCAGCTTCTAATGCAATTCACAAAATTGGCAAATTGAGACGTTACCTTGATCAAGCCACAACAGAAAAACTAGTTCATGCATTTGTTATGAGTCGTATTGACAATTGTAACAGTTTGTTGTTTGGTTTGCCAGATTCTCTCATAGACAAGGTCCAAAGAGTTCAAAATTGTGCAGTTAGAATTGTCTCACGTAAACGTAAACGAGATCACATTACTCCCGTGTTGTATGATTTAAATTGGTTACCTGTAAGAGATAAAATCATCTTTAAACTCTTAACAATTGCATATAAATGTAAACACAATGATACTCCCATGTATTTGCAAAATATTATTTCAAGTCATCTACCAACTCGCAATCTCCGTTCATCTTCAAAACACACCTTTAGTCACATCCACCAAAACATATGGGCACCGTGCTTTCCAGTATGCCACACCAGAACTATGGAACAATCTTCAAGAGTCTCTAAAACGTTGTCCTTCACTACATCAGTTTAAATCCGACTTAAAAACATATCTGTTTCAATCATGCCAGTCTTAAATTTAAATAGTAAACATGTGAATTTTGTAATTGATTTGATAATTGTAATTGCTAAACGGTGAAAGCTCAATATTCTTCATGTCTTTTCTCTCCTCTCTCTCTCTCTCTCTCTCTCTCTCTCTCTCTCTCTCTCTCGTATCTTAGCGCATAGAGACAATTTTGTAATATGCGCTATATAAGAATTGAACATTATTATTATTATTAAGAGAAAGAGAGAGGATGAGAGAGATTGCAGACGGACAGAGATATCCGCATACAGCAAGAGAGAGAGAGAGAGATTAGTATAACTGTAATCAAATTTGTATGCAAACATTTTCTCTTAAAGTAAATATTCATGAATTTATTAACTAATTTTATGTTCATTATTGCAAAGTTGAAACTTTGATTGGACAACGTTATCAGAATTCATGCTTGGAAACATTCGAATTAATGATTATTATAAATTACAAAACGCTTGTATAAAGCCCCGGCATAACACCTGAAGAGCTCTCCGAACGCTGCTGAGATGTGTGAGATCACAGTATGGACACGATTTGCACAAGAGTAGACGATGTCCCATGACATCTCACACATTTTCAGTGCCTGTGTTTTCATCTTTTCTTGAGTTCTTTCTCTTACTTCACTACCGTTA